AAAAAAAAAAAAAAAAAAAGCCAATGAGGTGAGTTAGGTGGCTATAAAAGTTTTCCGTGTTGTAGATAATGACGTCAGTTGGGTTGAAGGAGGAAGTGGTGAGAAGAGTGAAAACAAGCACACATGGGGAGTTTCCTGGTGATCCAGTGGTTAGGATTCCATGCTTCCACTGCAAAGGACCCAAGTTTGATCTTTGGTTGAGGAGCTAAGCTACTATGGGCAGCCAAAAAAGAAAAATATGTAATGTATTTCTTCAGTTAAGATTTGTGCATTTTCCAGGAATTCCTTGGTGGTCTAGGTGTTAGTATTGGGGGAGTGTGTAATTTCCTCAGTTCTATCTCGTCACAACAAAAATTTGAAGTGATGGACCCAGATGGATCAGTGGTACAGCTCCGAGTTACAGCTCAGTTTTATTTAGGAAATAAAGGAAAATACATCCTCAATGCCTGAGGGCATGCCAACCAAAAAGTCTCGAAGAGAAGAGAGAGACAGAGGCAGAGAGAGACACAGTGAGAACGAGAGAGAGCGCGAGAGCAAGAGTGAGAGTGAGAGACAGGCAAAGAGGAAGAGAGGGAGAAAGAGCTAGAGAGAGCCAGAGCGAGCGAGCGAGAGCAAGCGATGGCTAGATAGGGAGAGAGGCAGAGAGGAGAGAGGGGGAGAGAGGGAGAGAGGAGAGAGGGAGAGAGGAGAGAGGGAGAGAGGCAGAGAGGAGAGAGGGAGAGAGGGAGAGAGGCAGAGAGGGAGAGAGGCCCCCTGCCCTTTGGCTCCTCCTTTTATATATTTTCTTTTTTTTCCCCCTCCCCCTGGGCCTGCCCTATGTAAACTGGGCTGGCCAGGAGTGCTGTTTGTTCTACCTGAGGTCCTCACTCTTGTCCTCAGACTTTTCTTTGTTCTATTTTCATGTGCTTTTCCCTTCCTTGTCATTTAGCCACCGCCATTCTGGACTCCGAAGCTATTCTAACTATCTAACATTAGGATTCTGCACTCTCACTGCCAAAGGCCGGGGTTTGATCCCTCAATGAGGAAATAAAATCCATAAGCCACGTGGTATGCAAAAAAAAGAAGATACGCCCAAGGTAGCTCTGATTACCTTTGCTCTGACTACTATTTACTGAAGGATTCGATGTGAGGTTTAAGAGAAATAGAAAGATGAAATATGATTGCAACATTTTAATCCTGAGCAACTAGGTTAGTGGTGGTACTATATTCTTCCATAAGGAACACTGGAAGACAAGAAAGTTGAGGGCAGAAATAATAGGAATCAAGAGATTATGTTTAAAGATGTTGAGCTGAGGTGCCTTAAGACTTCCAACTAGAAGTTATTGTGTTTTGTTTTGAGTCAATTGCGTTAATCTGGAATTTCATGTTTCCCTCAATTATCTTCCCTGAATAGTTCCAGGTGAGTAATAAAGACATTAATAATGAGGTTGGAAAGGCAAAAGTGAAGCAACAGTCGTATTATTTCTATTCTCACAAAGATGATGCAGGGGATAAGGTACTTTTACAGTACACACTTGTGGTCACTTTGCTGATTCACTTTGCTGGTGTGAGGAAGCAACCAGCTCTCAAAAACTTAAGGCATATGAAAAAGAAAACAAGTATTATACTCACGGAGATATATTTTATACTGCTTGCATTATAATAGATGCATAGTGAGAATGGAGCCTGTTAAATAATGCAACAAGGGATTTAAGTCATGGTTATAGAACAGTCCTTGGCCAGAAAGGATAACAAATACCTTTACACAAAGCCCTCATTGGTCCTGTAGCCTGGCAGGTACTGGCAGTGCTTTCAAGAGGCTACAGAGTAAGGTCTGCTGCAGTTTTGCTGGGCTTGTTAAAAATAGCCCTAAGCCAGACACATGCCATCCATCAGAATTAAGTGGATCACTCAGCACCTGCTTCCTGTATCCTGTCTTCTGTTACTCCATGTGCTTTCTCAGATCCTGATGGGTCCTTGGCCCATGCTTCTGGGTGTAACAGTGATCTCTGCCTAGAGAAAAGGTAATGATCTCTGGAACAGTGCATGCAAGCCAGGAATATATTTATCATCTGAGAATTGAGCTTCCATTACTAATAATAGTTATCTTGTATTGAGTACTTACTCTTTGCCAAGCTTCTGCAAAACACACTCTAGATTTTATCTCATTTAATCCTGGCAACAGTGGTATAAGGTAAATTTTAGTATTATTCTTGCTTTGTGTGGAAATAAATTTAATTGTAAAGAAATCTACTGAATTGCTCAAGATCTCACAGGAAATGGCAGAACAATAATGACTCAACCAGATGCCACCTGCCTATAATGACTGACTTCACTTTTATTATATTAAATTGCTCCCTGGGCTTAGGTAAACTTGGAGAACACTTATCTCTTGCAGAGACTTCTGGGAGTATCTGACTGTTTGATCTGAATTTGAATTCTGATGTGGCCCCTGGGCTCTTTGAAATCCTGAAGAAGGGAGTGGAACCTTCAATAACTTGTGATGTTTCAGAGGAAGCAGAGATAAACAGACATATCTTTAAGAAAGATCTTTCTATTCTGACAATCACTTGAATCGATCATATAACCATGTAAATTAAAAATATATGCAAATTATATACTAAATGCAAAAAGTAGTCTCCATATCAGAAAAGCTATTCCAGACTCCTCATTATAGCAGTAAATATATTTTGTTTAACATTGGAAATGGAAAATGTGGTCACTGTGATATATATATCTCTGCAGCCTGACATCTGATTTTTTCTGTTAATAGGTTGAGATTTGACTGTTCTAGAAAACAACAGCTTGTCCTGTGGAGAATTCTGAGTACATGCGGATGGAAAATCAGAGGCTAAATACCAAAAGAAAAAGGAGCTATTTTCCTGTGAGACAGAAAGCAGTGGTGAAGAGGGTGGAGCTGGAGGAACAATAGCTGGACCAAAGGGCAAGACTTACAATCCACCAGGAAGATGTAGCCATCATAGGATTTATGTGCTGAGAAACATAGCTAAAAATTATATGAAGTCAAACTACTAGAAATATAATTGAACAAAATAATAAATTTAAAAATTTCAGTAAACAACATAGAATTTTTTTCAAAATACTCATAGAATATGTTAGCTGAAAAAAATCAATACAATGCAAGAAAATGTATATGTGCTATAAGAATGGAAGACAATAGACTAAAGTTTGAAATTAAAAGCAAAAATAGCCAAAATGAAAAAAATGTCTTGAAAATAAAAATACTTTTCCCAATTATTGGTGTTAAAGGTGAAATCAAACTGAAATTACAGATTGTTTAGAAACAAATTTCACTACATATCAAATTGCATATTAAAATTATACTCAGAAGAAGTTTTATAGCACTGTATGCTTTTTTAATTAAAAAACATCTAAGTGGAATTTGCACTCACCTCAGGAATCTAGGAAAACAACAAAATGAACCAAATAAAAAAATAAAGAATTGAAACTAACATAGTTTGTGGTCACTATGGAAAATAAAACCAGATCTAAGTAGACTTGTTTTATCTATGGAACAATACAGAGAACAAGCAAAAATAAGTCAGTTACTTGCCCTAGGAAATTTTTACTCTTCAAAGACAAGACTTTGAAATAACTTTTTAATCAAGACTAATAGTTTTTATCAAGACTACAATAGCTTTAATCAAGACTAATTCAACAATACTGATTTCAAGACACTCATTTCATGGGGCCCATCAATCCAAAACTTTTATTTTTTAAACTCTGTCAAATCCTAACCAGTTTCCCTCCTGACTAGGCTCATATTAAAATCATTCAGTTCAGGCACTGAAACCTAATGAATATCTTTCTCCCTTTAACTTTACCTCTCAGTCTTTACTGCATAAGGTCTAATAAACAGCTTTGCTTGATGATATTTCTGGAGGAATTTTTAAAAGTTAAATTTTAAGAAGTTAAATGATTTTTATTGTAAAATTTTATTTTTACTTATTGACATTATTTTAATGTCAATAAATGTAAAAATTGTTTAAATGAGAGAGAAATGACCAATATTTTTTCACAGAATTCCAGATAATATATGGAGATACTTACCCTCCTAGGAGGTAGAACTTAATTCTTGTCCCTTCCTTGCATTCTCCCATTAAGAATGAACTAGTTGATGTGTTTCAAATAATTGTACAGGGAAAGAGAAAATGGAAAATTTATGGTGGATGTTCCTGGCAAATATTACCTTAACTAAATGACGAAGGTCAACATCACCAGTGATGCCATGTGGACATCATTGCTGCCTGATATGCTGTGATGTGAAAGCTACTTACCTCTGTAGTATTCTTCTTCCAACCAAGAACCCCAGTCTAATCATGAGAAAAACAGCAGACCCTTCCATGTTTAGGGACAATTAAATGAATCAAAAAGAGGGAGTAAATAAATGACTTAGGAGGAGAAAAAATGAATGAAAGAATAAACAGAATAAAGTAACAGTAGAGGAAATAAAAAAGAGTAGAATATTTTCAAAAATTGTATTAATAGTGTTCTGCATTTTTTTTAATAAACTAAATGTCAGTATTTGGCTGGAAGTAATAATGATGGGAAATATTTATTATTTTTGTCTGTTTTATAAACAATATGATCCTGTGCATTATTAAATACAACAAATTAACTTTGCTATATAACTGCTTAAATTATAAAAACACATTTCATTCACATGCTTTCTTCAAAGCTGTAGGATTTTATTATAATTATATACATAGATTTATCATGAGTAGAAACATTGCTGTTTTCCTAAAAGAATTGTATTATCGGCTTTTCATAATGCATCCTGACTTATTATATTTAATATAAAAATCTATTTTTTAAAATTATGCATTTTCCATAGTTATTTGTGTACTGATTTTCAATTAATAGTTTTTAGCTGACATGAAAGGAAAGTACCTGATGGGTTACATTTATTCTTTCTAAAGGTAATCATTATCCAGAAGATGTGAAATGCATAGTCCAGAACCCAGGGGGCTTAGAATGTATTAGACATATCTATGATGGCATTGGAAAGTTTGTTTATTCCCATTACTAAAATGCGTTATCTTGCTATGTTGTTCCTCCAAGAAGTAGGCACATTCGTAATAATATAGCACTAAAAATTTCTTAAAATTTGTTTACCTGAAGAAAGTGAAATGCTAGCTTTAGTAATAGGGATCATTTCTTTTTTTAATATTTACTAGGTATAAGTAACTATTTACTCATTAATTATTATGGTGATTAAATAGACATGAATAAATAATTTATGCTGTTATCAATTGTTTTTTAATCCATACAAAACATCTTTTTTGACTTTAGGTGGATTTTGCTCAATCTTTCTAAATAATAAATCATTTGTAAGTTAAAGTAAGAAACAAACAAAATTTTGTGTGGTTTCTCAGTTTTCTTTTGGAGAACTGTGCTAGTGGTACATGGGTTCCCCAATTAGAAGCTGGGATAATAAGTAACTGACTCAAAATATTTTCATAATACCATATCCTGAAGCCACTAAACTAATTCAGAGGTGAACAAACTACAGTCATGGACTCAATCTGGCCCACTGCCTCTGTTTGTAAATACAGTTTTGTTGGGATGGATTGGCTCATTCATTTACATATTATCTATGACTTCTTTTCTGTAACAGTATAGAGTTGAGTAGTTGCTACAGAGACTATATGGACTGTAAAGTCTAAAATATTTACCACCTGACTCTACAGAAAACATTGCTTACTCCTGAACTGAGTTATTTGACCCAGGTGTCCTGACCTATAACTGTAATAAAGTGATACCCAACCATAGAGAGTACACATAGACTACGGCAGCATTTCTTATGCTTAAGAAATTCAAACAATCACTTTGAAGGATGAAAAGTATTCTCCTAGACTGTGATTAATTACTTAAGTTACTTTTATTTTATATCTGAATACATGTATAACTAGGTATACACTCTTTATTTGTTTATTCCAAGACATATTTAAATGGACTTAATGATGGTGTTATTTTGCACAAACTAACTCAGTGTGTGAAGCATGAGATTGACATCTCAAGGTGGCCTTTATTTATAATGATCATCCAGAAGACTTGATATGTGCTTGCTGCTGCTAAGTCACTTCAGTCGTGTCCAACTCTGTGCGACCCCATAGACAGCAGCCCACCAGGCTCCCCTGCCCCGGGGATTCTCCAGGCAAGAATATTGACTGGAGTGGGTTGCCATTTTCTTCTCCAGTGCATAAAAGTGAAAAATGAAAGTGAAGTCGCTCAGTCATGTCCAACTCTTAGCGACCCCATGGCCTGCAGCCTACCAGGCTCCTCCATCCTTGGGATTTTCCAGGCAAGAGTACTGGTGCCATTGCCTTCTCCTGCTATGTGCTTACGTATGTGTGCATCTATATATATATATGCACACATACATACATATATACGGGCTTATGTGCTCCATTGTTTCAGTTGTGTCTGACTCTTTGCAACCCTATGGACTGTAGCCCACCAGGCTCCTCTGTGCATGGAATTCTCCAGGCAAGAATACTGGAGTGGGTTACCATGCCCTTCTCCAGGGAATCTCCCCAACCCACAGATCAAACTGGCATCTCCTGTGTCTCCTGCATCTCCTGCATTGAAAGCTGATTTTTTACCACTGGGCCACTGGAGAAGTCATGTGTGTGTGTGTGTGTGTGTGTATATGTATGTATGTATATAATGTTCTATGTAATATTCTATATACAATATAGATGCAGCTGAACAATAGAGAGGCTTGCCTGAGGCACTGAGCTACAGAGCAGTACCCCACCCAGGGTGCTCCTTTAAGTGGCTGATGTGCAGCATAAGACCCTAGCCGGGGGGTGGGGGAGACCCTCTTTGTGCCTGACGCAGGGAGAAACAGAGAAGGACCCCAGGCAAGGGAGCCCTCCAAGTGCCTGAATGGATGGAGCTATGGAGAAAAACTAGCCAAAGAGGCCTTCTGATTGCCAGCTTCATGAGGCTCCATAAAAGACTCTGATAGAGCCAGAACTCCTGCAGCGCAGGCACTCCATGTCCCTCCAACCTGGGGCGCCACCAGGGTCCCCGCAAGCCAACCAGCAGCACCACCTTCATGCTCAACTCTCACCGGGGAAGAGCTGCCACAGGAAAAAGTCTTGTGTCTACGAGCGAAGGGTCATTTAAGTCATGTCTGATTCTTTGTGACCCTGTAGACTGTGGCCTGCCAGGCTTCTCGATCAGGGAGGGGGATTCTCCAGGCATGAACACTGCAGTGTATTGGCCAGTACCGGTTGCCATACCTTTCTTCTGCTCAGTCACTCAGTTGTGTCTGACTCTTTGCAACCACATGGAATGCAGCATGCCAGGCCTCCCTGTCCATCACCAACTGCTGAAGCTTAACCAAACTCATGTCCATTGAGTCGGTGATGACATCCAACCATCTCATCCTCTGTCGTCCCCTTCTCCTCCTGCCCTTAATCTTTCCCAGCATCAGAGTCTTTTCTAATGAGTCAGATTTTCGCATCAGGTGGCCAAAGTATTGGAGTTTCAGCTTCAACATTAGTCCTTCCAATAAACACTCAGGACTGATCTCCTTTAGGAAGGACTGGTTGGATCTCCTTGCAGTCCAAGGAACTCTCAAGAGTCTTCTTCAACACCACAGTTCAAAAGCATCAATTCTTCGGCGCTCAGCTTTCTTTACAGTCCAACTCTCACAACCATACATGACTACGGGAAAAACCAAAGCTTTGAATAGGCAGAACCCTGTGGGCAAAGTAACGACTCTGCTTTTTAACATGCTGTCTAGGTTGGTCAAAATTTTTCTTCCAAGGAGCAAATGTCTTTTAATTTCATTGCTGCAATCACCATCTGCAGCGATTTTGGAGCCCAAAAAAATAAAATCTGATACTGTTTCCACTGTTTCCCATCTATTTCCCATGAAGTGATGGGACCATACGCCACGATCTTAGTTTTCTGAATGTTGAGCTTTAAGCCAACCTTTTTACTCTCTTCCTTTACTTTCATCAAGAGGCTTTTTAATTTTTCTTCACTTTCTGCTGTAAGGATAGTGTTGTCTGCATATCTGAGGTTACTGATAATTCTCCCAGCAATCTTGATTCCAACTTGTGCTTCTTCCAGCCCAGCGTTTCTCATGATGTACTCTGCATAAAAGTTGAATAAGCAGGGTGACAATATACAGCCTTGATATACTCCTTTCCCTCTTTGGAACTAGTCTGTTGTTTCATGTCCAGTTCTAAATATTTCTTCTTGACCTGCATACAGGTTTCTCAAAAGACAGGTCAGATGGGCTGGTATTCCCATCTCTTTCAGAATTTTTCAGTTTATTGTGATCCACACAGTTGAAGGCTTTGGCATAGTCAATAAAGCAGAAATAGATGTTTTTCTGGAACTCTCTTGCTTTTTCTATGATCCAGCAGATGTTGGCAATTTGA